AATAAATGGAAAAATCCAAAAATTCTTTTTTTAAATATTATTTTCGAAACTTGAATTAACTAAAAAAAATAAAAAATAAAATTAAAAAAATCCCGTTTTTTTTTTTTGAAAAATACGTGAAATATTCTAATAGAATATTACACTGACATATTCTAAAAAATAATTTTAAAATGCAAAATAAATGGAAAAATCTAAAAATACCATTTGTTTTCTTAGAATTCCTTTGTCTGTGCTTCCACCTCACGGATGAAGAATTAACCCAATTGCATCCCTTGTCCTTGGGCGAACCCGCTAATGAGAGTTTGAAGGGATTTCCCCTGGTTGCATAACCACCAACGCCAACAGATGTGGGGATAGCGATGGTTAATTCCAACAACAATAGTGAAATCCAAATCGGGTGGAGGGAGATTAGAGAAACCGTGAGCATGAGATGGTGGAGAATATCTCGTGGAGAAGGAAGCGACAATATCACAATACTAACTTGTTCCCTAATCTCATAATAACGCCCTAATCTTATATGGCAGCCATATAATTTAATGAAAAGCCATATAAGGTCCAACACATCAGACTCTTTTTTATAGCCTGAAATAAAAATCGTCTATAATGGATTAAGTGACGAAATAAACAGATAAATCTTTGACTTTATGCCTCAATAATGCAAAAAAATAAATAAATAAATAAAAAATAAAAATAAAAATAAAATTGAGAGACCTTTTAACACAAAACCCATATATTGTTGGATTATAGTAATATTAACTACTTTTAAGATAAAAAACAATTTTTGGTTATACATTTTTGGGTTAATAATCTAGAAATGTAACGAACTTTGGTCTTTGTCTACATTTAGGTAATCATGTTTTTTTTCGTACACATTTGACCATCGGACTTGTTTGACATGTTCAAAATAGGGTAATATGACTGGTAATTAGCGGCAATATTACCCGATTATGAACAGGTCAAACAAGTTTATTGGTCAAATGTGTACGAAAAAAATATGGTTACCTAAATATGGACAAAAACCAAAGTTCCTTACCCGTTTTGGTAATATTGGATTCTTTATGTTAAGTGTAATATGTAACATGGAATCGGGCTACCGAGACTTTGGGTTCTCAATACATGCACTCTTCCCACCAAAATCGTTCTTAGTCCAGGAGAAACCATCTCCTCGTAACTTGATTGTTGGAGCTTGATCCCAAGACACAGTCCCGGAGACGGTTCTAACAGTTTTGTTGTATGATGGCACCTAAGAATCAAGTCAGGAACCCACTAACAAAACCTACTTTAGACCTGACACAAAGACCCGATAGCCCAATTTCATGTCACATCAGTTGGGTATTATGATTACTTACACTTAGCATAAATAACCCAATATAACCAAAAAGGGTAAGGAACTTTGGTCTTTGTCTATATTTAGGTAACCATGTTTTTTTCCGTATACATTTGACCAGCAAATTTGTTTGACATGTTTAGAATGAGATAATATTACCATAATTACCGGTCATATTACCCTATTTTGAACAGGTTAAACAAGTTCAATGGTCAAATGTATACGAAAAAAAACATAATTACTTAAACGTGGACAAATACCAAAGTTTGTTACCTTTCTGGTTGTTAACCCTACATTTTTCCCGGTTATTTGTATGATTTCGGATGGTAAAATTCTTTAGGCTTTGATATAACATAGATAAACCCTAGAATCTCAGCTGCTATACCGTTTCTTACTTTTCTTACCCTATTTTAGCTTAAATTTTCTATATGAGATAAAAGGGTGGGTTCTCGAATTGGATAACAGACGGAGACAGAGATGGCGTCGACTTCTTCTCTGATAATCTTCTCAACAGTCCCATTTTCTTCTTCTTCCTCAAAATGGGTTTCAATCCCCATGTCCTATTACCAAAATAACACTTGCTTTAAACGATTCTATCTCCATAAAAGCTCCTCTAAATATACCATAAACCCTTCACGGCCAACTACACGAAACCCTAAAACCCTAATTGTTAGAGCTGCTGAATACAAATTCCCAGACCCAATACCAGAATTCGCTGAAGCTGTAAGCTTCCCCAGCTAAATTTCTAAGCTTTGATTTCTTTATTTACCATTTGAATAATGCCTTCTATGTGTTTGTTAAAATGTCTCTATGTGACTGTGTGTGCTTTTAGGAGACTGAGAAATTCAGGACTCATCTCATCGAGAAACTATCAAAGAAAGACGTATTTGAAGATTCTGTAGATGAAGTGGTTGATATCTGTACTGAGGTATTTCCCGTAACCTGCCTTCTATGTGTTTGTTAAAATGTCTCTGTGTGCTTTACTTGTCTTTTTGGTTCTCATTGCTTTCTTTATGAATATATTGTGAATAGATCTTCGGAAAATTCTTGCATGCTGAATATGGAGGTCCAGGAACTCTAATGGTGGATCCTTTTTGGGAGATGGCTGATACTATAAACGAAAGTGAATTGCCTGGAGGACCTCAAGCTGCTCGTGCTGCAGTTAAATGGGCGCAAAATCACGTTGATAATGACTGGAAAGAATGGAATGGTAATTGAGTTAGATTAGCTGCTCATAGATAACATAGAATTGCGTCAGATTGATCTTGAAGAGTTTCCAAATTAGCAACAGAAAATGGTCAAATCCAATGCCAAAGTTCATGGGATATAAGTCTATTCTGGTCATTGTATTATGTCAACGCTGTATTTCACTGAGCATAAGTTTTGCCGAATAGTGTTAATTTTGTTTCATATTCGTATTCATTTTGTTTTGTTTAAGTTTATGATAACCCATAAACTAAAATAGTTGTTGTTTATATTTACTTGATATTGGTTTGATATAAATCCATTGTGTTTTCACATAAACCACATTCCATCACATATATCATATACCATAAGACACATGATTGTCATACATACCTATACGAATAATTATTATGAAAGACTTGAGAAGGTCTTTTAATAAGCTGTAAACTCAAACATACATACCAACAACAGGCGTTTTCTGTTTCGATAAAAACACTTTCAACATTAATACTTAAAAACATATGATATAAAGTTGTGATGATCGCAAAAAATGACCTCTTTTCCGAATGTTAGTTATATAACAATTTGACCATTATTATATAAAAACCAAAATAATCACCAATTTCTAAACTGGCCTTTTGAAAAATAATTTATAGGTTCTGAAACAGCTTTTCTGACAAAAAAAACTATTTCGTAACATACAAGTTGCAATTTCAGAAAAAAGTTGACAAACAGTTTTCTCAATTTTAAAGTACTAGTCGGGAAATTCTTATTTGATGAATATTGTGATTTGTTAACCTCCATCTCAATATCTTTAAACACTTTTCCGTACTTCTTCAAACACATTTTTTCACACTTCTCCATCTTCAATATCTTCAGACACTTTCCAAACTTATTCAACCAATATGATTAGTTTATCTAATTGGATATTTAGAGTACTACTTTGTAAGAGAGGGTGCGAGGGATGTCAAATTCGAAAGCATCAAGTAGGGCAGGCCTTCTAGTAGTTGTTCACAAAGTCAATTATCCTACATTTGTTTTGAATGTGTAAGATATAGGTAGAGTTCTGGGTATTCTCTCAAAAAGAGTCGTTGAGGAGAAATTCGAGACATTGTGTCTTTCTTACTGTGAACATTGTGTCTTCTTTATTGTGAGCATATCTAGTACGCATATACTTTGATCCAACTTTGCTAATCATCAAACTACCAAATTTGGAAATAAAAGAGTCCATGCTTATAACTGTTTTTCCTTTCACTACTTGAAACATATACATTACATTCCCATACAAAATCAATGTGCAAAGTAGGGTCTAAATTTTCAAGATAAACATAAACCAACCCCCTTATTTCATCATTTACACGGCCTTACTAAACCAAAAAATGGAATCTAACCTACTATTCCATCTTCAATGTCATCACCAACAAATATATCAACCAACCAAATAGTCATAACAAAATGCTCCATTCTTTGATTTTGTGAAACAAGAAAGTTGTTCTCAACTTCCATTGCATTAATGGAATGAAGCAATCATACAATGAACCGTAAACACATCGATGGATCAACCCAACCAAAGAATCCACTTTCAGTACCTTTTGTACAAGTTAATAATCACTTTTGAAGTTACAACTAAAGAATCAAACAAACCTTAACCATTACCACTTAGGAGTAGAGTAGAATCTTCGTCCAAGGTTGTTGGATGTCCAACATGTTTGTATCACAACATATCAACCACATGCATACAAAGTCATTCAAATGAGACATATTTAAGTTTGATGAAGGATGGAGAATGAAACCCAACTATTGTTCTTCTTGAATGAGCAAATGAAAAAAAAGACAGGGTGAAATGACTTAAATGCCATCATGTGACTTTCACGTGAGGGGGTCCTAGCAGCTTATGCCAGTCGAGTGAAGCGGGATGGAGTGACAATGCTAATTTAGTTTGGATTAGAGACCATCTTTTGCAACAAACGAAAACTTTGGACCAAAAGTGTTACATATTTGATAAATATCCATGACAAAATATGTAACTTACTATTTATTATAATAATTTATCAATTAACAAGGGGCAAAATTACTTGGCTAAGCCAATTTTTATTTCAATAACTAAATTTCTTAATCAAATAAATCATTAACAACTACACAAGTATTAGGATATTATAAAATCCTATTATTACTTATTCTATGATTAATATTTTGATTTTAAGAATTTTATATAGGACACTTAGGCTATGTTTGGCGTACTAGTTGAAAAGTTAGCTGTTAGCTGAAAAGCTAGCTGTTAAATAAAAAGTTAGCTTTTGATAAAAAATAACGTTTGGTAAAACTAGCTGAAAGATATAAAATGACATAAAAGGGTATTTAAATGGATGTGTTCTATAATTAATTAAGAGATATATTTGGAAAATTTTAAAAAAGCTCATAAAAAGCTACTCTAAGTAGCTTTTTAAAAAGCTAGCTTATAAGCTACTTTTTGGCTTGCCAAACATGACAACTTAAAAAAGGTCGAAAAATAAGCTAGATGTGGCGCGCCAAACACAACCTTAGAGACATTATCTATTCATCGGACATACATAAACCGTTTGGAGGCAAGACTATTGTATTTGGAGGTGACTTTAGACAAATTCTTCCCGTAATACAAAGAGACAATCTTCCAGAAATAAAACAGAAAAATATTGTCCACAAAAATCGTTCAATGATTATAGATATCCAGACATTTCATTGTTTTTTTTAGACATTTCAATATTACCAATAATGTTACTTCTGTTTCTGTTACTTTATTTTTATTTATTTTTTGTACCAACTTTTTATACATTTATATGTTCGCATTCCCTTCCATTTTCAGAGGACCGTAGCTATTTTTTTTTTTGCCATGACCATTAACGAAAGTCAAGGACACTCATTATCAAGTGTTGGATTGTACATGCATAGACCCGTTTTCATGAAGAAGTTCGTCCAACTAATAAAACAAAAAATGTTGTTTACAAAGAGGTCCTTAATGATTATAGATATTTACATATTTTATTTTATTTTTTACAAAAAATGTTGTTTACAAAGAGGTCCTCAATGATTATAGATATTTACACATTTTATTTTATTTTTTAAACTTTTCAATATAATCAATAACAAAAGTCAAGGACACTCGTTATCAAGTGTTGGATTATACATGCAAAGTCTGTTTCTGTTACTTTTATTTATTTATTTATTTTAATTATTGTGTCGGTTTTTAATGACTTCTTATGTATTTTTTTATACGTTTATAATCTAGTTTATCTTAATAAAGTTAACAAGGTTAGACCGAATTGGCTCATTCCAACGAGTGGGAATCAAACTGGTGGTCATAGAGCTCGTCTTCCCCGGAACGTAAATACAACATTAAAAACCCTGAAATTATAATAAAGGGGTGCAATTGGGCACAAGATTTCCAGTTTAACCCACTACCCACCCACCCCCACCCAACCACCCACCCTAGCGAAACCCTCCCTCCATCGCTCCACCTCTAGCCCTTCTTCGCTCGTCGCCAGAGGGCTCTCTTCCTCCGCCACTCAGTCGTCGGCGACATTGACGAACTAAACGCGAAGTACCTGGTATAAATTTCTATCTAACACTCTTGCTAGTTCAAGTTGATTTTGTGCCAAACTTTCTTCAATTTCGTTATGCTTCAACTTAGTTGAATTTCACATTCTTATCGGAAATCATTTAAGTTCAGGTTTTGATTTTAAACCAAACCTAAATTAATCAAGTCGAAACCCCTGAGAAATATGTAGTTGGTAGAAGAATAATTAGAACGAATCTCAAATTGACGGTGATTAGTTTAGGTATATCATCTATCGAACAAAAAGCTTTAAACTTTGTAACGATTTAGTAAAACAATCATAAAAGGACATAGCATACGTAGTTGGTGATAAGAAGAATTTATTTTCCACAGAAAGGACTTTGAAGAAACTACTTTGTAATGAACTCCTTATTTAATGCGTGTTCCACGGCTTTATTTGCAAGGACGACTAGCACTCTTGTGGCAAGGTGTTTGGAGGTCACCTGGAGAAGAAGAATCAACAATCATTCTGCAATTACAATTGCAGAAAATGGATTTCTTTTGACAAGATTTCGTGCTAGTTGTTACTCCACTAGTAAAGCCAAAGGTGTTGGTAAATCAAAGACAAAGAACTCAGATTCTAAACTAGTGAAGATGATGGGTGAAGAGAAGAATGCTTTTTTTGTTGTTCGAAAAGGCGATCTTGTTGGTGTTTACAAGAACTTAAGTGATTGTCAGGTTCAAGTTGGATCTTCGGTATGTTCTTTCATCATTTTGTTAATTTATGAATCTGAAGAGGTAAATAAATGTAGAACCTTTGAAAGTTCACTAATCATATTTGTCTTTGTGGTTATAATAGGTATGTGATCCTCCTGTTAGTGTGTATAAAGGCTACACAATGCCTAAAGAAGCTGAGGATTATATGATTTCTTGTGGGCTTAAGAATGCACTTTATTCCATTAGAGCTGCAGATTTAACAGAAGAGCTATTTGGGAATCTTGTGGCATGTCCTTTTCAGGTAAGATAAATTCTAAGTTCATTTGTAATTTCATGACTAATGAGTTCTCTGTTATGATTTATGAATCATCTTTTTCTCTACAGCAACCACATTTTACCTTAGGAGAACCTTCAAGTGATCATTTGTCCAAAAGAAGGTTTCAGGAAGTTTTAGGATCACAAACTGGGGTAAGTTGAAATTCTGTTATGCATTTCTTTTAAAGTTTTTTTTTTTTTGATTTTGATTTATAAAATTACTTGCAGGAAGCATTTGGATTGACACCCATGTCAAGTGATTCTGCAAGGAAGCATGCTAAGTTGGAACATCTTGCAACTCAAGCTCTATCTACCACTGTGAGTGTTGATAGTGATACCTGATTTATGCAAGACTTTTTTTTTTTAAATATTTAATATTAAATTTAATTGGTTAATGAATATACAGCGTACTTGTATTCTTGAATTTGATGGTGCGTCAAAAGGAAACCCTGGACAAGCAGGGGCAGGAGCTGTTTTAAGAACCGATGATGGGAATTTGGTATAAAACCTATTATCAACTTTTTCTTTTTTTTTCATGATACTTAAATAAGTGTATTTATTTTTGTAGATTTGTAGATTGCGTGAAGGTTTAGGAATAGCAACAAATAATGTTGCTGAATATCGAGCTATGATTCTAGGGTTAAGATTTGCTCTTAGCAAAGGGTTTACAAGTATACGAGTGATGGGTGATTCCAAACTTGTTTGCATGCAGGTATCTTATCTATTATAATGGCAGTTTACTTTCCTTCTTTTCATAATTCAGCAACATATTCATCTTTCATGCCTTAGATTGCAACCTCTATATCCTTTTTTAAGACACTGTACTTTTAAGTTTGAACTTAATCTGGACAGCTACATGAGTTAAGAACTTAATCTGGACAGCTATATATGGCTGTTTCCATTTTACTTAGTCTGGATAGAATGACTTATGTATTAAGACACTAATTGTTTACCTATTTGCCCTTTTTTTCTTCCAACTCCTAGAATGACTTAATGGGTTAAACCAAATATTAAGACACTAATTTAGTTATGGAAAACTGTTTTCCTTTTCAGTTTTCTGAAAGTTGAATTAAGTTTACATTTTTAGTTTTCTCTAGAAATTTTTGAAAATGCGTTTAGCTAAAACTGATTGAGTTTTCATTTTCTATTTAGAAAATTAGAAAACATGTTTGGATGTGTATTTTCTATCCATTTTCCAGTTTTTGTTATTTTAAATTCAAATAATACAATATTTAACATTCTTGAACACCCACACCCATCCACCCTCCACACCCACCCACTACCCACTACCCCAACCCCCACCCACAGCCACTTTAAATTTGGTCAACACTTTAAATTTTGTTACAAATATGGTCCAAACTTTTTATATTACAAATCTGCCCCAAATTTAGTTTTTTTTTTTCTTTTTTCACAAATTTACTTTTTTACAACCTTTTTAAGACTTTTTATAAACCTTTTTTACAATTTTAATTGTTTTTTACACATTTTCTAACTTTTTTACAATTTTTAATTTTTTTCACACTTTCATCCAATTTTTTTTAACAAAAGTATTTCTAAATAAATGTAATAGCAGGTAGAAAAACAAAATGATTTGAACCGAATTTAAAGTGGATGGGGTATGGGTGTTGGGTGTGGATGGTGTGGTAGTTGGGGGTTGAGGGTGGGGTGGGTGGGTTTATATTTTAGAAAACTTTTGGAATTTGAAAACAATAATTATCAATTTTCCAAGTTTTTTGTAATTTTGGAAAATTGAAAATTCTCTTATCTTGGAAACTTTTTAGAAAAAATATTAAACCAAATGCGTTTTAAAAATTCTCATTTTTCCGTAACTAAACGGGGCCTAATCAGTTACCTATTTGCTTTTTTTTTTTATTTTCCGAACCCCTCTCATGTAAAATTGATTAATATTGTTAAAATTAATGAATATTGTGAAATTTGTTTTAGTTTCATTCAGACATACATCAAAATATTGTGAAAGTTGCCCATTCAGCCACTTTACCCATACATAACCCCTACGTCTTTATGGTACAGGTTCAAGGTCTATGGAAGGTGAAAAATCAAAACATTAGCAAGTGGTATGAAGAAGCAAAGAAGCTAAAAGATAAATTCCTCTGTTTCCAGATCGATCATGTTTTAAGGGTATGATCACCTTTAATGTTAATGATTGATAACAATCAAATAGATTTTAACCAAAAAAAAAAAAAAAAAATCAAAACTTGTTGCGCTATCAATGCATGAAAAGTGAAAATTTCAACTTGTGACAATATATCTATTTGTTGAATATCTAAAATACCACTTAACAACAACAAACATATTATAGCTTCCTCAACCAAATCAACCATGAAAACTTCGAGCAAATAGCTACTATTTACCTTTTCTTTTAAATTTTTTATTGTTTTTCCCTTGTCCTAGGACTTGAATTCAGATGCAGATGCTCAAGCAAACCTAGCTGTGGATCTTGCAGATGGTCAGATTCAAGAAGTTGATTCATAGTTGAAGACTACATTTCTAATACAAATTTATCCACAACCCCAAATGTCATACAAATGATCAAGAATTATTAAAGTCTGTTCATTTTTTTTTGGAGATTTTAATGATTGTTTTTCTAAGTTAGCTTCTATTTTTGAGATTATGGGGGGCATTTTGGTAATTGGTGCGACTCTCATGATTAGTGCATGGAAAAACATGTGGAGGGTTGTGAAATGTGAAGTTCATAGAGACTGAAATGTATTTGTTAAGATTATACCCCAATATTTTAGCTTGGTATAAGGTAGTATCTATATACCACTAGACATGTTTACTATTTGAATTTAAATTTAAATTTAGGTTTTACTCAATCGTTTTTGCAAAATAATATAGTATGTGTTACTAGTCTAACGATACTTTAGATTTAGAGACGATATTGTGACACGTAACCAATTAGTTTACCATATGAACAATGAAAACCAAAACAAAATATAAACGAACTATTAATACGACAAATATGTTGATTTTTATAAACTATAAAATAAACATTAAACCCAAGGTTTAAATGAATTATATTGGTTCAATACCATTTCATGGAATTAAATTAACCTCAATGAATTATTTTGGTTAAATACCATTTTAATCAATCTGTAATATGTGAGGATGATATTGTTTTGAAAAGAAAATAGCAAAACACAAAAATGGCGGTTTTTCACGCTCCCATCATCTCCATTTCTTCCACCGCATTGACGACTTCGCTAGCTCCGACGAAACCCAAAAGCTCAAATTTAGCTTCCCTACCCATCTCCGGCTGCTATATCCCGCGTTCTCTGTCGAAAGTTCCAAGCTTATTACTTCTTAGAGCAATCCCACTTCAGAAATACGTGTATCCTGACCCAATTCCAGAATTCGCTGTTAATGTACTGTATTTATATATCTGGGTACATATTGCAAGCTTAAGCACAAGGTAATCTCTAGTTTATTTTTGTGCGAGGTGACAGGAGACGAAGAAGTTCCGGAAAGAGCTCAAGAAGAAACTGTATAAGGAAAGGGATACATTTGGCGATGATCTTGATAAAGTCCTTGACACATGTACAGAGGTAATTCTTAATTTCATACACGTTGGTGGATACCTTCGATATTTTAGTTGGTAGAGTTGGCCACATTGTAAAAGTGATGTGGAGTTTTTGATGATGCCTACAAGCTGTTCGATGAAATGTTTAATTAAAAATGCTCCATGTATGCCATATGTAAGCAAGTTCTTGATTCTCATCTGCGTTGAGAGGAAAGTCTGGCACATTTCACTTGATCGTTGGTTTCTTGATTATGAAATATTATAAAATCACTTAGCAAACAACAGCTGAACATAAAATAATAAGTTATGAGGTCATCTTGATGTTGGTTCTTGGATAATGCCATATGTAATCACCAAAAACTCAATTTTCTCTCTTTCTGAATTCTGATTTATTGTTAAATGACTTTTCTAGCCCTCACAACAGAACTTGCAATCAATGTTTTCATGACAGCTTGTATGAACTTGTTTCTGTATACACCCTCTTAACCATGTTAGTAATTGTACTCCATAATTATCTAAAATATGCAACTTTTTTTTCATTATGGTATAAAAAGACGGAACTGCCCCTGATAGAATTTACTATTTATGAAACCAGTTATTTAGTGAGTTTGTGCACAAGGAGTATGGAGGACCTGGGACATTGGTGGTGGAGCCGTTCACGGACATGTTAATTGGACTAAAGCAAAGGAAGCTGCCAGGGGCAAATTTGGCAGCCCGGGCATCACTTTTGTGGGCTCAAAACTACCTTGATCATGACTGGGAAATTTGGAACTCCAAACTACAATAATTTATTTTTCTTTTTTGTTTTTGTGATTACATTTTGAGAAAAGTGCAAATTTGGTCCCTATGTTTGGAAAAAAAATTGGGTACGAGTCCTTAAACTATAAACTTTGAACATAATGTCCTTTTGGGCATGTTTGGTTGTTGGTTTTGTCCTTCCCAAACTGTAAATTACCATTTATGAGCTTCACGGTGGAAAGTGACTTGATCGGTTTGATGAACGTATAACTGTCTATAACTAATTCTGACTTTTGAAAACTGTTATTTTTGTTAGTTTTATCTATTTTTTGTGTATAACGAATATAGATACTCATTATACACCATTTTTGGAATAATCCTACACAACTCCATTACAATGTTTTTTTATTTGTGCGTAAATCTGAATGTACCTATTGTAGATTATCTTTTATTGAATTCGTGCAACCCATACATAAAATCGAATTATCAATTACGGAAAGTAGATTTTACACAACCATCAATATATCTAGCTAGTAACCATTTTCAACATCAAAATTGATCCTATTTTCACCCAACTTTAGCTTTGTGGGTGTGTGTTATGGATTTGGGGTGTTACAGTTGATACAAGACTGGTGTGTTTATGGAGGTGTGGTGAATATGACACATCGCTGTCTTAACCGTGTGTGAATATAAACTATAAAGTCTGGCATATTCTCTTGATTGTTTCTTAATTGTGAGATATTATAAAGTTGTAACAAACATCATTAATTTAGTAAACAATACCTGTAAATTATATAAGTTATAATCAAGCCATCGGTCCCTTAGTGTTGGCTCATGGATAAATGCCATATGTAAGCACCAAAAACTCAACTTTCTGCCTTAGAGCGACCCCTTATGAGCTGGTTTATTTTGTTTAAATACATTCCTTGAAAAGATGATAGCTTGTCCTTTTCTTTTGTCATCATGATTCGTGTATCACCAGCCTTGGATTTTCATGACATAAATGGA